GGAGTCGCTCAGTGCTAGAGCTGGCCAAGAGCCAGCCCAGAACTACACAAGTGGCACTTGAGGGAAGTCAGCCAGAAAGATGCCAAACTTCCCCAGTGGTTCTGCACAGCCTAGACATGTCTCTTAACTGATAGTATCTAAGTAAAATGAATCCTGATAGAATTAACACAGCACCTGCCACCATTTGCTTGCTGGAAAAGTACGAATATCTGGACGGGCTTCATCTAAGGGCCTTCTAGGATCTCAAGACTCCCCTGCTGTCTCCAGCCACATTCTCTGCCTAAGAGGTGAGTCACATAATCTTGCAGAAAGGAAACGCAGGGTTCATTGTGAGCAAAACCTATGGAGGACCCGGTCACTGGTTATCAAAAGTCACAGGGTCCCCCCTGGGTGATTATGTTGTTTCTCAGCATGGTTTACAAGAGAGGAGCATTGCATACTCTCAGGAAGGACCTCACCACTGCTAGCAGCCCACAGGCAGGGTGTGATTGTACCCAGGCACTGGGCAGCCTGGCACAAGCAATATCCAAATGCCAATTCAAGCCTGAACTAAACAATTCAGCTAATTGTTTCAAAGATATCTATCAGTGTCACTGTATCACACAGCTGAGTCACACGTAACAACTCTTCTTCTTGTCTTGTTTTGAAAGGAATTGCAGTAATTCTTAAGGACTGACACGAACTTACTACTCACACGCCCAAAATCTAGAGGTTTTCTTCAACTACACCAAGATTTTAATCAGCAGTTAACCCAACCACTGCTCGCACACCTCTTCAGTAATGAACGTTTGGTTTGCTGTTGTAAACTGGCCCCTTATCAGTTTTGTCTATCAGCAAATAGACTCACCAACTTCTTCTACTCTATTGTTTCGCAGAACTGACAGTGGTGGGGAGGGCTAGTGCTCCAGCTCCCCACCAAGAGCTGGCTCTTGCCCTGGTGGCCTCCACCCCCATGCTGGGCTCTGGGGGAGATCCCCAGACTACACACACAGCCACTGGGACATCAGGCATGACAGCCCAGGGTAGGGGTGCAAAGCAAAGCACAAACTGTTTCATTACTGGGATGGAGAGCTTTACTAACAGGAGAATTTTGTGGAGATGAGTTCATGCTGAAAGCTAAAAAAAAACTAAAGAGATCCTTCCCCTTTCTCTGCTCGCTATTATACAACACATTTCTCTTCTGCTTTTGCTTTCACCTGTGTCTTAAATAAGATTATTCTCTGTCCTCCTTTTATATTCATGAACTACTATGCATGAACTACATGATGAAAAGGCTACATTATACATTACACATCATTTGTTGCTTAGCATATGCCATGAGCAGAGGGAAATTTTTCTCTTCCCACCATGAAATATCAGCAAGGTTACAAATCTAAATGTCCATTCTGTACAATACTATAAACCATTGGTGGTTTGTCTCAGCTAGGAAGAAACCACGTCCCAAAACATCTGCATATCCCATAGAGCAGAGCTTCCCTTATCCTGCCAGCAGTTGATGAGCAGGAGGATGGTCCCTGCCCTATGCCCAGCCTTCCCAAGGCCAACCAGTGGCTGGAGAGGGCAGCATGACTGGCAGCTCTCCACGCAGCTGCCCTCCCCTGTAAAGCACCAGCCCCCCACAGGAGACCAGAGGAACCCAGAGGCACCCTGGTACCAGGGGCTCCCTCAGCAGCCCAGAGGGGGAAGGATAAAAGGCCACCATAAGCCCCAAAGAGCACAGACATCTCTATTTCTGGTCCAGTTCCTGATAGCACCATGTACATCCCTACCCATTACTCTGCCAGGCAGCCTCAAGCCTGAAAGTATCCTCACTGCTGGCTGGGTGATGCAATGCCACAGTCAAGCTGGAAAACAATTGCAGATTCAGGTGGTTGGCTCCTTGGGATGTGTGTTCACAGGCCACAGGACAGGATACCTCATGTCCAGTCACAACACTGCATGGGCAACCCTGAAAAGGCAAACTCAAGGGATTTTATAGGATCACAAACCCTCAGGGGTTTTACCCACTGTCTAGGCCCGCTTGTCTAAGGGTGAGCATGAGAAATTCACCTCCTTCTTGCAAAAGGAGCTATGCAGTCAAGCATCCTCTCTCACAGCTAAGATGACTTAGGTGTCACAAAAAATATAGATGGATAAAGATGGGTAAAGTAAGACCCTGTGTCCCTTCCCTGCACCTCACAGTTTGGACAAGGCACCAGAGCATGGTTTGGTGAGCAGCCAGTGCACATGGATGCACAGGCACTTTAACACACGCACTCTGATGGGTACTAGTTATGTTCCACTGTCCTACAGCCTCTTCTGGACTGCCTAACAAACAAGTGTCCTTGTGATCTCTGTTCCCTAGGCTACTCAAGTCAGCTCCAGTCAGCAGTATCTCATTATCAGATTTCCTTTATTTGGCTGGGTGAAAATCTGGAAACCAGTGTGCACCTTCAGTGAAAAGCATAAAGAAAAAAGTTGCTAAATAACATAACTTAAACATTTTCAAAACAAGTTAGAAAACAGATCTTTTTATTAGGAAAAAAAAAAAACAACACAAACCAAACAACAACGACAAAGAAAACAACACCCAAAAAGAACAACTGCTGGGCATGAACACATATAGTTTAAGGAAAAGCACAGGCTGCACGACTTTTCTCCCAACCTCACACTAACAGAAACTTTTGCCCCATTGCTGAACGACATCTTCAGCAGGGAAGGACAGAAAACCAGCTGTGTCCCTTCTGCCTCATAAAGACATCTCGAGTCTCAGATTCCCACCTCAGTGGGAAACATCCTTCCCAGCCTGGCATTGCACCAGTGGCAGTGCTAACAGCTGCCAGGGCACCCCCAGCCCCCCTAGGGCAGCCAGCAGCAGCGAGGCTGCTGCAGGACAAGCTGCAGCAGGGATGCACCAGCCCAGCAAGCCAAGGCTGGCCCAGCTGTGCCACCCTCAGCACCCCAAACACAGTCATCTTCTCCAGCGCAGGTCAGAGCACCATTCAGCCTTTGAAACATATCATGGAGTCTACTGTCCCCTGCCTGCTCCTGCCAGAAAGTGCAGAGGAGAAGCAAAGATTACTGTGTCCCCCCATTTCTGTGACACTAGCCCCTCTTCACCCAGCGTTGCTGCCACTGTGCTGCCTAAGGCAGCTGCCACCCCAAGTGCTCAGCACCACATTTTTGTCATTCAACTCACCACCTTTGAGGAATGTTTGTACTGAAAGGAGACTGCACAGCACCATGAGTAGAATTCTTATTTCCCTCTCACTGTGAAAAATCTGAGTCCTACAGCAGCCTTAAAAAGCAGAGACAGGCTGAATCACCACCAACACAGCACACAAGATCCAAAAATCTTCTAAGCAGAGTCACAGGACAAGGAAAAAACAAGAACAACCACCTATGGCTGGGTGTCACTGTTGCAGAGCTTGGTCATGTACATAGATATGAAGGACTTCCAGGTAAGCATGCAGCCAGCCAGCCAGCTCCCCTGCCTGGGAGAGAAGCATTCAGCTTGGTTTTGATTGTGCTGGGCCACTTGCAAACAAGACATACCTTAAATCTGTTTCCGAGGGTTTCATGGCACCATGTCAGCACAGTGTGAACAGGGACAAGGGAGGAGAGGAATGCACTACACACCTCCCTGTCCCTTGTGGCCCCAGTCCGTACCATCTTTTACACACCTCCCTGTCCCTTGTGGCCCCAGTCTGTACCGCCTTTGCTAGCCCATTGGGCTAGTTTAACACAAACATCCCTCACTTCCAACTACCAAACTGCACTTCACACAGTAAGTACTTCGCTCTGGCAGTGCAGCCCACAGCATTCCTTGTGTCCTGACAGCCCTGCAAAGCTGCCAGGGGCTCAGCTACCTGCTGTCTGGGGCCAAGCCCTTATCCTCTCCTCACTTCTCCTCCTTCCCTGCAGGTCTACCCCAGCTACTCTGTCACACACCTGCCCTGAGGAGAGCAGGACATGCATAGCAACAAAGCTTACCTAAGAGGTTCTATAAATTGCTGCTGTCTGTGAAAATAACACAGCACCAAAAAAGCCTACATGCACAGGCAGATGGCCATCTTAGTCAGCTTGCAGTAGCTAAACCATTACATGAAAGGAACTAAAGCTTGCACTGATAACAATCTCAGCATTATAATCAATGTTTCTGCCAAAATCACACACCAAAGCCCCAGGCACCCTCCTGCTGCAAGCAAGCAAGCAAGCTAGTGGCAGAGCTGTTTTAACTCACTGGCAATTCAAGCAGTTAGGTTCTGGCAAAAGGCAACCATTAGTCCTCTGCCATTATGGGGTACCAAACGGTGAGCAAGCCAGTGTCACCTCCAGGGGTCTGCATGCAGCAGCCCCTACCTCCACTCCTGGCCCCACGCAGCAAGCAGTGAGGGCTGAAGCACAAAGGGTCTGGAGCTCAGAGGAATGATTCAGATAAACACCTGCCAGAGCTGATACCTAGCTGAAACCTCCACTGAGCTTTTGTTTGAAGGGCCTGTGAAAAATGCCTTGAAATCTCCGGAGAAGAGGCTTTCTCAGGAAATTTCTAGCAGGTCCTTGCCTTGTCTGGGGCTGGCAGGCCACTTTAATCTGCCTGTCACACCTGCCCCTTGCAGGAACCACTGGCTGGTTGAAGACATGGCACGAGGTGGGCAGGGAGAAGGAACTGCTCATCTCATTTCAGGCTGTCCTCCAGGGCTCCACAGTTAAGCCGCAGGCCTGTTAACAGGCAAGGCATCAAAGAGCTGCCCAGTTTTGTTTGTTAGTGAACCTGTCAGCCTACAGCAGCGTGGCCACAAAGTCACACATGTACTTTCCCTTATCATGTTTTGTTTTGGTTTGTTTCTGGGATTTTTTTGCTGTTTTGGTTTGGTTTTAATTAGGCTCGCAGGCCTGACATCTCATGTCTTTACCCTGCTAAAATGTTCTGAACCAACTCTTACACACAACGAGACTATGGGATTCAAAGGATGGGTGTCACAGGGTTCAAGGTGGGGCAGAAGGGCAGGCATGCCAGATCAGTCATCAGTTGGATCTGGGAAACAGTCTGAGGCATTTTCCTGGCTCTCCACATCAACTATGACCTCTGGGTCTGGCAGTTCCTCAGGCTCTATCTCCACTGGTACGTTTTCTTCCACCAGTGGCTGGGGCTCAACACCTTGACCTGTCCGGGCAGCATCTGGAAAATAAGGGAGAAATTATTTATAAGTGCCTGCACGATGCTCACCCTCATGGAAATCCTCCCCTTAGTCCCTGATGCTGCAGGCTGCCTAACCTGCAGTTAGTTTCCACTCCACAGGTGTCTACAGGCCAAATTTCAATTTTCTTTGTACCTACTCATTTGTTGAGCTGTCCCTCGTGGTTTCAGACACTTTGGTGTCGAATCTGTCTGCCAAATGTATACCAAAATACCAAGGCCAAATCTATTAAGTTACATCTAGTGATTACAGCTGGCTAACAGCACACATTTAGTATGTTCTCACCAAAACACTTTCCACATAACTTTGGGCTGTTCAGTCTGGAGAAGAGGAGACTCTGAGGAGACCGTATAGCAGCCCTCCAGTACCTGAAGGGGCTACAGCAAAACTGGAGAGGGACTGTGTACAAGGGTGTGTAGTGATAAGATGAGGGGTAATGGCTTTAAACTGAAAGAGGGAAGATTTAGGTCAGACATTAGGAAGAAATTGTTCAGTGTGAGGGTGGTGAGGCACTGGAACAGGTTGCCCAGGGAGGTTGTGGCTGCCCCCTCCCTGAAGGTGTTCAAGGCCAGGATGGATGGGGCTCTGAGCAACCTGGTCTGGTGGGATGTTTCCCTGCCCATGCAGGGGGTTTGAGACTAGATGGTCTTCTAGGTCCCTTCTAACCCAAATCATTCTATAATTCTATGACTTACATATTTTTTCTTTCTTTCTTTCTTGCACTGTGTTCATGAGTAACATTTAATATTTTGAAAGCAGATCAAAGCAGCATCCAAGGTTAGACATAAAGCATCCCTGAGCTGCTGAGAGGCTGGCCGTGGGTACAGTGAAGGACATCAGAAGTGGGGACAGTAGTGCTGAAACCAGGTTATGGCCTGTGTCCTGTTGCTCCAGGTCATAATGTCTCTGCTAGATCTACCTCTGGTGATGATGGTGCTTTACTAGGGAATGTGTTGCCAGTGTTTGTGTTCGTGAAACAAAACTGAGGGAAACCTAATACTAAATATAATGCTCTCAAACACATGGTGTGATTCTTTGGGTGCCCTACACAGGGACAGGAGCTGCACTTGATGATCCTGATGGGCCCCTTCCAACTCAGCATATTCTATGATTCTATAATGCAAATGGAGTATTAGTATTAAGCACTGACAGAACAGGACATTTCTGGAAGGTTTTTATCCCTGCACTCTCTTGACCATACAATGCTAAAGCTGGGGGGTTTTCTTCTTGATTTCTCTGAAGGATTTAAAATGTGACTGTAACCATTAAAATGGTTACCTTTTGCCACTTCAGCCCCAATTTAAGGAAATGCACACACCTCAGATGAGGTTTGGCTGTGTATGGTGGGTGCCATCCTGAAGGTGACTGCTTACAAGAACCAAGCCGATTCTTACAAAATGTTGCTGAAGAGAGGGATGTATGTGTGATAAAACTGCAGGAAAGCTGCTAAGCTGGGTGGGGGGAGAGGGGAGGGAGGGTTTGCTGGTTTTGGGACGTGTGTTTTAGCACCGGAGATGCGGGAACAGACAGTTTGCAGCCTGCAGGCAGCACCCTCTGCAGAATGCCAGTGATGCGGCTGCTGCTGCATCCCACGGCTGGGTGAGGGCAAGAGCTGCTCCTGCGCAGGAGCCGCGCACCAATAAGGTCCTGATGAGTGACCTGCTGCAGCTCCTGCTGTCCCGACAAGACGCAGCTCCCTCCCTGCGCTTGCAAGTCCCGTGCTTCTCTCTCTCTACGGTGGGCTCCCGCCCCGTCAGTCACACACATCCATTCTGTCCCTCGCCCTCCCCAACAGGCCATCTGCCTGGGTTAAATCAAGGCCCTGGACCCACCAGGCTTCGGAGGGCAGTCAGTTTGGGCAGCTTGAGCCTCCACATGGTCTCCGTTGGGGGGGCTCTTCACACCTTCGCTGGAGATCACCGACATTGTAAGTCCATCATCCTTCTCCTCTGTAAAACCAAGATCAGAGGTGTGAAGGAAAGAGGTCCCTCTCCTTGCCTCAGCACATCTATAACAAGGCCAGACCCCCAGCACGTGCATGTGTCTTGTCCTCATGTGGCACTGGCTCTGTTCCCAGAGCAGGCAGATGCAGAGTACAAAGGGCCACTGACAACCTGTCAGGGACCAGCTTGGCCATGCTGGCAGGATCACAGCTTGAGGTGGGCATGGGCAGATTGTACTCAGGGACTGCTGCTGACAAAGGACTTTCATCAGAAGAATTCAGGGCCTTTCAGGATCAGGCCTGAAATGAGGTTCAGTTTTCTTGTGCACAGAGAAGATTTTGCTGTGATTCTTTCTGGCCAGGAGCACATGGTGGCAAACAAGAGGAAAAACAAGAGGAAAAAAAAATAATTAAAAAAAAAAAAAAAAAAAAAAAAAAAAAAAAAAAATAAAAAAAAAAAAAAAAAGAAAGGAAAGGGATTTAACTCAAGACCTGGCTGGTTGCAACAGTTGCCTGTCAGCAAACAGCTTTCTGCTCCACCAGGTCAAGGGAAGGGCTGGAAGACAAGCAGCAACCAATCTGAGGCCAGCTGATGCTGAAGCTACTTCAACCCCAGTCTGCACAGACACTCCTCTGTAAGACTAGTCCCAGAGAGCAACAGTGTTCTCCACTCACCTGAAGGCACTGGGATGAACTTGTGTTTCCTCTTCATGCAGCAACATATGATTGAGGACACAACCACCAGCAGGATAAGGGCACTCCCTGTGCACCCTGCCAGAATGTAAATGAACCACGGGTACTGCAGTAGGTCTCCTGCAAGAAGGACAGGGTGCTGTTACCAGGGTGGAAAAGCTGCTTTCTCCAAACAGGAGAAACCCTGCAGACAGACTACAGCGTGTGGACATTATTATTGCTTTGCTTTGGATAAGGGGACCTGATATTATGAACTGATATTATGAACACATTGCAGTTTTTATGGCACATTGTTTAACTACGGCATGGAATTTTTTGCTAAGAAGAAAGGCTTGCATGGCTATGCTGTGTGCACTTGTTTATTCCTACTCTGACCAGTAACATCTAAGATAATTCATAAATTTAATCAAATTCAGCAGGGAAGGTGGTAGTTTTATGAAA